CCCGCACTGAAATTCCGTGAAAAAAAGAGGAAAAGAGGGGAAAAGGGGGGGGGAGAGAGAGGAAAGCTCCCGGGGATTCATTCCTATTCCCTTCCCCGTTCGTTCTTTCGTCGTGCTTCATCGACTCGCCGTAGTCGGGTTTACGTAGCATAGGTCGCGGTCGATTGATTAGTAGGATTTCAATTAACCTCGTGGGCAACGAAAAAGCCGGCCGAAGCCTCGCGCGTTAGTGGACGACGAGGGAAGCCGTAATTCGTGACCCAAACTTCTAAATGCGGCTCGGTTTGCAAAACCGAGTCGTGGACTCTTATTGAACGGCTGCTGCAATTGAACTCCGGATCGCCGGGCTGCCCTCCCCTCACCTCACGCGTCGCCACCCTCCCCTCTTTAATCTCTATCAGGTTTGTTTGCGATTTTGCCTGAATTGTTACCCTCCGTTTATCTCGACCCTTATTCTATATACGTATAATATATATACACACATACATATACAGGATGCTTCAGCAAAAATAGGCAATCTTCTAGAGGCATGTACACCAAATGAAAATAACTCCCTAGGTTCATATCAAATTTTTCCCTACAACGCACCCCTGCTGACTTTTTCGTGTCCAAGATTAGAATCCAAAAAGCATTTTTTAAACGTAACTTTTATATCGCTTAGCAGATTTTGATAATCCTTATATTATTTTTATAAAATTTTCTACTAAACGTAGAATAGCGCGATGAACCTTTTAATATCATTTTTCACCGTTCAAACGCACTTTTCTCGAAAAAGATTTGCTTCTTCGAAATCAAGTAATTTTTTTTCAGAAAAAAATTTAATGAATCTAAAGAGTTATTTTGAAATTAGAAAATTCTACTTTTAAAACTTGGAAGTTAAGAAACTTGGGGTGTTTTCTTTCCAGTTTCCCTGACAGGATATCAAAAAATGTATCAAATTATTTTAATAACCTTCACTTAATATAAAAATGACGCAAAGATGACGAAAATCTGCTGAGAAGAATAAGAGTTATTTTTAGAAATTGCTTTTCGGATCCTAATTTCGGAGGAAAATATCTCATCAACGAACGGAGGAACAAGAGTGCAGGGGAGGGTGCGTTAACATAAATAATTATAATAAAAATTTTAAACATAGACACTAAATATAGATAATAATAATAAAAATTTTACGAGCTCATTTTCACCTGATTTACACATCGCTAGGTGATTGCTTATCTTTAAACAAACATCCTATATGTACTCGCCAATATTTACGCTCGAAAATTTCGATGTCTCTCGTAACGAAATTCATATTGTTTACCGATCTCCGCCTCTCGTTATATTTCACTTCTTTCTCTCTTCTACTCCGGCCACCTCCCTACGCCACCCTATTCACTCTTTCTCTATGCGTCCTGTTCGGATAAAGGAAAGATTTGAAGCAGAAGTCGAGTTGACGGTTTGAGGAAGGTCCCCATTTCCCGCCTTTGCCATTATGGATTCCCCGCGATACGCTTCCCCGCTTGGCCGCACACGAAAGCTGAAACTTTCGCTTAATGACAGAAGTTTTATTGCCGGCCATCGTTCAAGCCGCCGACATGCCAGAAGCGCGGCTTGCGACGCATCGCGAGTACGTCTCTCCCCGTCGTTCTCACCCAACTTACGACCGCGATTGCGGTCGGAATTTGGAAATGTCGATTTCCATACCAGGCCAAGAGGGAGAAGCGACCGGCAATTGCCGATCTCGAGTAACCCGGGTGTTTTACTTCGTTTTATTTCCGTTGCGACTAACCGGCGGGTAGAAAGCGGCAAAGGACGCGCATTGCTTATAGCTGGTAGAGTCCCTTAAGAGTCTGGACATCGGCGACTTCTTGCTCGAAAACGGCGTCAGGTTTTTCACTAGAAACTTTATATATGAAGGATGTCTATATTCAATATCTCTCCACAAGAAACTTTCCTTAGTGTATAATCTTAGTAGATAGCTTTAGTAGACAACCTCCGCTCAAAACTTCTCTTACCCCTTGTCCACAACCTTGCTTTAATCTTTAAGCCGTAATAAATTGACCAACCACAGTCGATTATTTTAAAAATAATCAACTGTGGTTGGTCAATTTCTTAAGAATTAAAGCAAGATTGTGGACAAGAGGATAGTGTATAATATAAATAACTGTTGTTTCCCTAAAAATATGTTTATTTTATTAAGAAAATACTGTGAATTTCTTTTTCGAACAAAGATTTGTTCCAGATAAAGACTTTTAATTCGTGACCCTCTATTCCGCCATTTTCGATGAAATAAAGAACTAGGTCAATTAGAAAGAAGTCGGCGATGTCCAGACTCTTACTTGAGGGATTTTAATAGTTGGGAAGCGACAGAGATCGCAGTGTCATGATAGCGGGCTGCGTTGCGTCGGACGTGTTTGAAAATTTTCAGCCGCGAGATAAACGCTTATCCTTTGAATCTTCATGCGTACGACATCCGACATGGATGTCACACGGTTATCAAACAGCTCTTGATCGCGCATCAGATTCCGCGCGGCCAAAAGTTGGCATATCCCTTATCACCGCGCTCTCTTTGTACTTTGTATCTCGCGGGAATGCGCCTCGCATTTTGGCAAGCGCTGCGCTAAATAATGCATTCGTTGAAAGGGAGCAGGGCGCTTCGGGCGCTTTGCAGCGGGAAATTACCCATATGGAGAATTTCTGAAACGCAACGGGGGGATCTGTGGCACGACGATAAACACGAACGGAGCTCCATCCCCGGCGCGTCTGTGCGCATATGCGAAGATAGTGCAATTTTACTGCAGATGCTCGCGGTTGTAATAGCTACGAGCCCGCCGCCAGCGGGGCATCGCGCTGATCCAGCCGGTTTTACGATAATTACATAGACAAAACGTGCCGATACACGACGCCAGATACGATGTGCGAACGCGTTTGCACTTCTTCGAATCTTGGGGTTTTTGTTCGGTCATCGAAACGGTCTCTTTTTGAAGGAAAGGGCCAAAGTAGACGACGAACTACAAAAGTGTCGATCACGTAGAGACAATCGTCAGTAGAACGATCGCATTTTTCTTTTTGTATTCCTCGTAGACGGTAAAAGAGAGGCGGACGTGCCCAGAATAATAATCCCGAAATTTGAGAAGTGGGACAACGCCCCGAAAAGTCACAATTCCGAAAAGGTAGTACACGTCATGGATGCCTGAACATTTCCTCGATTGAGAGTTGCAGGATTTTTGGCTTTATGCGTGTACGAATGAGATTGAAATCGTTATAATTAATGTTATTATAACCCTATCATTATAATCAGCGTTACTTATGCGATTTTCAATCTCGAGTATTATGTGTAAGGCTCAAAATTATATAAACCTCGATCTAGTAAATGTTCAGGCATCCATAACGCCGTGAATACAGAGGCAATCTTTCGAAATATCAAAAACATGAAGTTGCCCTACAAAGTTGTGTGACAAGTTATTGACAACTTTATGCCTCTCAACATTTCGGGAGATTGTCTCTGTTTCAGAGATTGACTTTTCAGAAAAATGACGTGCTTTCAATATTTCAGGAAAATTGTATTTCGGGTCATTTTACACTGGTACTCAGTTTTTGCGATTGTGATTTTTTGGAACGTTATCCCGCTTTTCAGTATTATGCATATCCATCAAAAAACCTTTTATATTTGTATTGAAGTCGAAATTGTATTTGAACAGGATTTTTTGTGTTATATCTGTAACATACTCATATATTACTTTAACATATTGTTATTGCGTTATTCTGACTATTCTGCGTTGACTTCTTGTTCGCAATTTCTAAAAGTGACACAATAGTACTCAAATGTTACATTTTTGTATCAATTTTCGATATATTATTTGTTTTCACATTCATCTTGTGTTAAATTAAGATAAAAAAGTGGATAAATTGGAGCATGTGATAAATGTGTTAAATTTAACAGAAAACTTTTTACAGTAAAGACATAGATCTCATAGAAATATACTTTGTTTATTTAGCAGGAAACATAACCATGTATATATAGAAAGTTTTCTGCAAAGCTCTCGTATACTCTTAAACTCCTAAATTCAGTTGTAAAGGTACAGCAATATTCTTAGAAAATTTCCTGAGCGGAGTAAACACACGTTCGATATGTGCAAGCTGCAGAACTTGTGTATCGAGCAAATATTTACGCTGACTGATAGCTTTACATGCCAATTTTGAAATGTTTTATCATTTTCGTTATATATTGGACAGTTTATTTCTGCACATATTTTCATCACATGAAAGCGTTTACACAACAGAAATTTTGCAGAAAAAACTAGTATTTCGTCGTTAAAGTTAAAGTTTACAAAAGTGCGGCATCTCCTTAATAATAACGCACTCTCGTCGAAGAATTCGGCTCGGAAGTAATTCGCCTGGGAGCGTAATAACTTCGAATAACATCCGTGCATAAAAGGTGGTTTAGTTGAAAATTGATATAGTTGAAGAAAGAAAGAAAAAAAGAAAAAAAGAAACAAAAAAAATTCGGAGAAGACAAAAAAGTTTCTACGTTCCGCGTGCAGCAATATTATTGTTCGAGACTATATATTTTCCTCGACGCGCGAAATTCGACGGAGTGTGCCTTATGCCGAAATGATCGAGCGACCGAGGTGGCCGCGAGCAAATTTGCAACGGGTCACGTCTCGCTGAAATTGGCGCGAATATCTGAGATAGAGAGGAATTCCGTGAAGTCTTTAGAGCGTTCATTTTGCCGTCGCGATTGAACTTTATCGCGGGACTGCTGATCGCGGTGATGTTGGTTGATTTGACGGATATTAGCAACTGTCTCCGTAAAACCGTTTCTCTCAGAACAACAACGGAGATCAAAGATGTCACCGTGGAATTATTTAGGCGACGAGACCGTAACGCACGTCGCGGCTATTGAAATCGAACGGCACGAAAATAACTAATCGATGAGCCGCTCTTATTATAAAATTACGGGGGCGGCAAGGGACAGGGGAAGGAAGGAGGAAGGAAGAGAATCTTTTACAAGTACTCACCTTTAACCGCATTGAGCTTATTCCCCACCATCTGCTTCGCCACGAATGCAGCCATCTTGGTGCTCTGTGGTTATCGCACCGCTATCAAGAGTCACAGGAACCTGAAAAACGAAAATTGGAGCTATTACTTCAAATTTTTCCGCGACGGGAAACGATATGAGAGGAACGGCGAAGCCAACCGCCGAAGTCCCGTGCGCGCTCGCCCGCCCGTGTTTGATTTTTCACGGAAATTCGATGATATCACTGCACTTTCGGGAAATCGCAGCTCTCGAACTTTTTATTTCTCCAGACTGTCGTTCTCTCGAAACAAATTTCACGAAACACGGATAAACGCTTCGTGTATGATACTCTCGTGTATTTATTTCCTTTTTGCACGACACTTGTCTAGAACTTCCTCTACCTCCTTTTCGTCTCCTATATACTTCACACATTTGCCCTTTGAATTTATATACAGGCTGCTTTAAAAAAATGTTAATATCTACATGATTGTAAATATTAATATTTCATGAAGCAAATTCTCCATAAAATAAATAACTTGGTTACCATAAATTATGTAAGTAAGTTGTCATAAGTAACTTATTTTTCAAATAAGTGTCAACATATTTTTGAAGCAAATTCTCCTCAAATAAACGTGGACATATTTTTTAAGCATTATCCATATAAGTAATTGAGTTACCAATAAGTACCGTAAATTACTACATAAGTAACTTTTTCATCATATAAGTGTTACAACATCTTTTCGAAGCAAATTTGTCTATTCTTCTGAAGTATATTCTTCTGAAGTGTCCAGTACAATATTTTCCACGAAAATTTCCACGCTATTCAATATCCCCGCGCGATTGACTCAACTTTCTCAAACGACAATCTCTTACGAGATCTTTACGAAGTGATAAAACTTTATTCCGTATCATATATCCGCGGAATTATAGATCTGGTTATAGCCGCCTTTTATTATCGTGTAAAAAATTATGTCCCTTGCAGCCTCTGCATGAATGTGCGCCTGTGTGTACGTGTTACAACGTTTTATGACTCTCTTACCTTAATTACCGTTTATCATCGATTCTCTTGGGAACTTGGCAGAGAGAATCTCATATGGCCTTTTCCGCTCGATTATTTAGTTTGCATTTTGATGAAGAGCGCCTGTCAAATTCTAAATACATGCACGAATGCCCTTCATTGAAATCATCGAAGGAACGTGGCGGGTAACGAAAAATGTAACAACTTTCTTCATCGTATACGTCGTGTCGTCTCGCCATCTCTCCTTGTCTTCGTGCTTCAGCGCAGAAATGAAATATGTTTCCCGAGGGACGACGTCGGCCTTGATGCGCGGACGATGAAAGTATTTTAATCTTACGCTATACGCACACACGTCATGTATGTCAAAACGGCCGGAGGCAGCCGAACGTGACCACTTTACCGCCTCGCCGTAGTTATTCCATACAGAAAATTTGACAGTTAATAAAACAGCGCGTCGCGTCGCGACAATTGAATCGCGAGCGCGCGTGTATAATTTTATAATTTCATAACGAAGACATCGCACAAACACACAGGCACAATGTGCAATCAACCTGAGCATCATACAGTGCAAGTCGCGGTAATGGCCGAAGGAAGTGAATCGGCCGGGCGATGAAAGAAGGGATCAATAGAGAAATATACAGGGTAGACGAGAGAATGGGGAACGAACGAGGGGTGGAAGAGAGTGCTGGAGCCTGAAGACGACGCCAGTGAAACGGCGTCGAGACGTCTCGGCGCCTCTGCTCCCTGACCCCCGCCGACCTCCGTGATTTTCCAACAACACGCGACAATTTATCCCCCAACAATGAGCGGGACAGCGTTGCTGCTCATGCACGCGTTGTTTTTCCGCTCCCGTGGCGTAACGTAAACGTGACGTGACGTAACGTGCTTTGTGAGGGTTGTTTTCCGCGTATGAAAATCCCTCTCGCCCTCTATGCTAATCATCGTCTCTTCTCAATTAAATTGTTTCGCGAACGGGTTTATTTCAACACTATCGTGTTTATCCCAACAACACCAGCCCGTGATCATTCCTTTAACTCACTCGGCGCCGCGCAAGGGTTCTCTCTCCCTCTCAAAGCATTATAATTCCCATCTCAGCTTTGAAACGCGAAGGCAACCCCGCTATTAAATCGAGACGCCTTCGAGGCCATTGTAAGCGACCGGACGGGGACCGTGGAAAACCGCGAATGAAATTCGATCTCCGGCGAGTCCGGTGAAATTTAGTCGTCGCGCGATCCATACGAAAGGGTAGAAAGCGCTGCTTACACCCCGGGATGGGCGCGAGATTCTCATCCTTTGGTGGGGTTCAAAGGAACGCCGTGTAATTTCGCACGACGCCTGAAGCTCCGCATCGTTGAGGATTGGAGTGGAAGCCTGCTCGAGTATCTCTCGTCTTAGAGAGCGAGACCGAGCGCTAGAGAGAGAGAGAGAGAGAGAGAGAGAGAGATGTGGAGGGCGTGTAGAGAAGGGTTACGTGTGTGTGAGCTTCTGGTCTTAGAGAGAGGCGTTTGGCTCGTTAGAGTAGCGACAGCCTGGACAGATGCAGTCCGATGCGATCTCTCGATCCGTCGCTCTGATTTGTTTAATGAAAGCGACAGACGGAATTTTCGACTCGGCCGCCGTTCCGGCTTCCTCGCGCAGCTGGCCGAAACGGTCGGCGACGGGAATTACAATTTGATGGATGCTGGGGATTACGATCGGCGACGCGCATTACACGGGAAGTCTATCTGCGTCCCGCTCTCGTGGGGATCTTGATTGTGCGATTTAATGTAACGAGGGAGAGCGACTCGCGGATCTCGAGCTGCTGTCGCGCGCTCGCGCATATTCCGCGACGAGGTCCCGCCGAGATCCGGAAAGATTGAGAGCTTAATTACGACACTCGATTCATCAGGCTTGACATCGGCAGCTAATTCGACATGTATAAGTACTCGCGCGCTCGATACTCGATCAAATTACGTCGCGTCATCCCGTAAATAAGAAGTCATGTAGAAGCCGTCTCCCGTCAGTCGCGGCGATCGATCCGCCGCGGACGATCCATCCGGATCGGTTGTCGACGTCGTTGTTGCTGTTGTTGTCGAGACGTCGGGCGATCCCATCAAGTTGCTTGATTTTCCCTCCCATCGCCGGGGCGATCCGAGGATACACATTAACCCCCTCGCTTGCCGGACACGGCTAAAGTGAATACGACACGATAACCTTTGAACGGCTTAAAATTCTTTAACCCCCGATTTACTTACCCTGGGGGAAGCAGGGCGAGGCAGCTGATAAGAGGAAACTCGCCTCGTCCCAAATTGGCGCGCGACGCATTCACCGAATTTTTTCGCAATCGAGTGAAATTACGCGATGCGTCACCTTTGACCTATCCTCCGGAGGAATTTAACGTGTAATCGCAACCGTGTAAGCGATAAAAGGGCAAAAAGGCTTCAATTTCAAAGGGCAAATGCTTCAATTTGCAAGCGAAATTTTGGCAATTTGTTCGCGTAGGAAAAATACGCGAACAAAATATTTATTCGCGCGGGAGAATAAATACCATAGTTTATTTACACCAATATAAAATATTACTAAAAAAATATATATTACACAAAAAAGAACTTGAACTTTTCGTAAAAGCATCTGTTTATTCTACTTCAATAAAAGAAATTAGATTTAAATAAATATATTACCAGTAATAGCACAAGACTTGAATCTTTAGATTTAAAGTATTTATATTTGGGGATAAAATACAATTTAGATTTAAACAAATATGTTATTAGCATAAAACATATTTATTTAAATTTAATCTAATTTTTACTTGCGCAGAATAAACAATTGGTTTCATGAAAATCTAAAGAAGAAAATACTTTAGGAAAATATAAATTCTCTCCACTGAAAAATATTTCATATTAATACAAGTAAATATGTCAACGGGTAAATATTTATTTTTTAGATATTTGTTTTCTCTCTCTTTCTTGTGTACACGCCATCATACCTTTTCTGCGCTTCGCTTGTGACGAAGCACACGGAAACAATTTCTATTCCTATTATATTAACAACGGAAGTGGCGTTACGGCGGCTTGCAAATGTCATTTCTGAGAATACGCGAGACGTTAGTCCAAACTGGCAATATGGTAGAACAGATAGAAAAGGGCATTTCCTGCGAAAGTGTGCAGCTGCTTGCTATATACGTGTGGGTGTGCAGCTGTGTAGGAGGACGTTGAATACGTCTATATTTGCTCGCCGTGTGCACACTACATAATGGGAGAGCACATTTCTTATTAACGCTATTCATCCTGTCACCAGGGTGCAGGAATTTCCGAGGACGGAGCATCCATGCATCTTACGCAGTCGGCTGCAATGAAAAACCCGCTTGCGTCATTCACTGTCGAATTTTCAATTCTGCTCACCGCCATCGCGCGGCGACCTCGCCCTTCTTCTTTTTTCCTTCGCATTTCCGAACGCTTTTGCTCTCCTCGTGCAAGTACCCCCCCTCCCCCCAATGTTTCGCGTTCCTTTCGTTAAAAAGAGGAATTAAATTCCTCCCGAGTTCAAGCACGACCGAGAGACGAAAAAATAAAGTGAAGTTTACGCACAGCTTTGCTTGCGCATCGACAACGTCGGGAAATAATCGACCTCTCTCTGTCTCTCTCGCTCTTTCACTCTTTTTCTCTCTTTCTCTCTCTCTTCCCCTCTCTCTTTCTCTCTCTCTCTCTCTTTCTCTCCTCCTCTTCCAAATTACGATGGTAACGATCGTGTACGCTGAAAAAAAGATCGAGTGGAAGAAGCAAGTCTCAGGACTATGCAAATTTTGTTGCGCAAACTGCAATCGAATCAAGTTGAAGAAAAATCCAGTAGGATCAACAATCTGATGTAGAAATTTGAATTACAAAGTTGAGTCAACGGTGAAAAGTTAACGAAATTGCAACGTAGTTGTACACTTGTTTGCGAAACGGTTTAAACGCATTTTTTTCCAATTAAGTTGGAAGCGTATCAAACGCGATCACAATTGCGAACCACCTCTTACGGGCTTGTACAGTGATCAGTTTTGACAGGAGCTCAAGTGATAGTACAAGACGCGTAAATATTGTCCCTTTATTATACTCTTATCTGA